GCGATCTGGAATGAACAATCGAATACGATGGGGCCTATTTTTAATGAACTGAGTTCAAATTATAGGCATGTAAATTTTGCGAAGGTAAAGCTTCAAAATGCTAGAAATATTTAAGTACTTTTACCTGATCCAGGTCTTATAATTTCCCTTAATTCCTTCAGGTTGACGATCAATTCGCCAATAACATTCAAGTGACACTGTAATTTATCCATCCGAATTCTTCAAATGCGTACACCTTTGCATATATTCTTAATATCTGTGTTCGTGCTTTAGACCCACATTCAAATTCTTCAGGAGTGGACAGCAGATTGCACAGCTCGTTGGTGCGCAGCAGGACGAACTTAGAAGACTCGTCGAACAGCACGCCGGATCTCCTGAATCAAGTGAACATGGATATGTATGCAAATCAAACCTCTGTCTACTATAAGGTTTTACAACTTTATTTGAATTATTATCATTTTTCCATCTTCCATTCTTACATCAGAGGGATTTAAGTGAATTCATTACCCTCAATCAAGTCGATTGTCTCAATCAACATGAAGTGCACAATGTTCGGAACGTCTTTAAAAAAGACGATGGGTACTTGGAATCGGATGTGGACGAGCAACTCCTAATCTCTATTCCCTTCAATCAGACCGTGAAGCTTTATTCATTAAAGGTCGTTTGTAAAGATATTGGTTAGTTCATCACCTAATTTTTATCTTAAATTTGCGATGAGGAACCTGTGAAGTATGACGTCATTCATAATTAGAGCACGCCCCCAAGACAATTAAACTTTTTGCCAACAGACTTAACATCGGTTTTGACGAGATTGATTCTATCAAAGAAACTCAATTAATCCAACTTAATGAGAAAGACTATGAAGAAAACACTTCTGTCTTTCCCCTAAAATTTGTCAAATTCCAAAGTGTAGTAAACATTACTGTAAGTTTTGTTTTTTTTCTATTGTAATTTGTCGCGCCCGATCATCTTAACGCGTGAGCCGCTAACTTGAAATTTTAATTTAGGTATTTGTCCAGGATAACATTGGAGATGAAGAGACCACAACCATCAAAGAATTGATATTCATCGGGTAAGTTAAGTGATTCGGTCATTCTTTTTTCTAAAAAGACTGACACATTTTGTGATATTTGAAACAATAGATCTCCGATCGAGACAACCAAGATGGAGAATTTGAATCGAAAAAACGAAGAGGGTTAGATCGAACATCATAATTTAAATTATTCACACTCAAAAATGTTAATTATATAAAAAATCTAATATGATTAATACAATAAAAAATGATTGATTTCGAAAAAAAATTTTTTTTTTAAATGTCACAAATTTCCCTTGATACTACTTTGCAAATCACGATATCCTACATCATCTAGTTTTATCAGCACTAATGTATAACACTAAAAGACAAGGCAAGAGTTAATGTAGTAAATTTAAATTTACGAGACGCGTGTTGAAGCATACCATTATTTCCACGAATGAAAGCGTCGCCATATTTGTTCTTAAGTTGTCCATTAACCCATTCCTCTGTTTGTTCAAGAGCGA